CTGCATGTCAGATAACTTGGAGCAAAGTGCTGGTCTTGACTATAAATCTGTCTCGTAAGATGCCTTTTCCATTGGTACCAGTTTCATCTGGAGGAGCCCCAGTCAGACCCGAGGGTGTGTGGATGGTGACATCTTTGCAGGAACATTGAAGGAAGAAGTACAGTGACAAGAGTGGAGAATTTCAGTCCTGATTGATCTTCATGTCCAAGGCATTTCTGTACCACATGGTCCAGTCTTTTCTTCTGAACAGCCAACGACTCTCTTACAAATTCGAGTTCAATATTTCCCAATGTAATTCTGTTTGTGGGACTGTTCTCAGAAATTACAAAGCAAAATCTACCATTGAAAGTACATTCCACAGAACTTTAGAAAGACTTGAGAACATTGATTAAAATAAACAACAGTTGTTTTCCAGCGAAAACAGTGGCCACAGCTGCTCAGGTTGTGTCATGGAGTACCCAGGGGACAAGCTGACTCTGACCTTCTCCCCTGTATCTGTGTTCCTCTTTTTTGACATCACCTACTATCTGATGGTACTGAGGCAGCGGCTAGGGTACTAGTTCATGCATGGCATCCATTTGGTCATTTGAGGGGACAGGAAGTGCTGGAAATTGGACCTAGGGCCTCATATGTGAAAAGGGGTGGCAGCAACATGGAATAATTCCGTCCAACTGTTGAGTGCTATGCTCCATTGCTTTGGTGGAGGAATTTTATCCTGTACACTACTTACAGAACCTCCATTGAGGTTTTTACAGACCATACTAATATTTTACTGGCACCTTTAATCTGGTATATTCTATTTTTTGCCCATGTGACCTGGTTTCCCAGGGCTATTCATTTCTACCTGTTTGACTCCTGGCTGTAGAATCAAAGACGGGATCAGAACTTGGAAAAAGCAGGTGGGAGCACACATGCTCACAGCTGTCACAGAAGTGGCTAGATAGTTATGAAAGCCTTTGGATGGGCCCATGGTGCTGGTGGTGCTGTCGTCCCAATTCATGAACAGTTGCTAAAAGGAGACTGGAAACAAGACTGATGAAGGGCTGGAGATGTCCTTCCCGTCTAAGGTAACCTTGCCGGGTCAGTCTCTTTACAATCCAGCAGACCAAGCATAATGTCAGTGCCTTCACACCATCTTTCTCTTGACTATAAAGGTAACCATGGTTACTGCCATGACTCTTGCTCCCTTTGAAGGTACCTTGATGCTGTTTGGCTGGCAGCAGCAGTTTTCATCAAGTGTCAAGAAAAGTGAACAAAACCGCTTTCCAGTGGCATGTCAACTTCTGAGCCTGCCAGAGGCTCCAAGTGGTGCTAGGATGCCCATCAGGAACTTGTGAATCTGGGGCCAGCCTGGACTACATAGTGAGTTCCAGGCCAGCAAGAGCTATATAGTGAGGTCCTGTCTCAATGAAGAAAAAAGAAAAAAAAGGAAGGCCCAACGTTATTCTAGTTCAGCATAGAATTACTGTCGATTCCTCTCAGATTCTGACATTAGATAATTAATTGTCTTGATTCTAAAGTTGGTTTTTTTTTTTTTAAAGTTTTGTGCTGATTCCATTTTGAACTAAATTGTCCTGAAAATTCAATAGTGCCTGAACGGGTAAAGGTGTTTACCATCAAGCCTGGTGACCTGAGTTTCATCTTTGGGGACCTTTGTGGTCAAAGTAGAGAACTGACTCCACACAGGTTGTCCTCTGATTTCCATATGCTGCGCGCGCGCACGCGCACACACACACACACACACACACACACACACACACACGAGTCACATACTCGTTGTTGTTTTGGGGCTCTTTTTGGGGGGCCCACCACCAAGCTCCCAAATAAATCATACACGGAGGCTTATTCTTAATTATGAATGCCCGGTCTTAGCTTTACTTAACTTATTCCGTCTATCTTTTCCCTCCAGGCTTTTCCTGTTCTCTTACTTCTGTAAACCTTACTCTTACTCCTTGGCTTGCTGTGTAGCTTGGTGGCTGGGTGGCTGGGTGGCTGGGTGGTTGGGCCCTGAAGTCCTTCTCCTTCTCTGGCTTTTAAATCTCTCTTCCCAGATTTCTCCTTCTATATATACTCCCTGCCTGCCAGTCCCACCTATCCTTTCTCCTGCCTTGCTATTGGCCATCCAGTTCTTTATTAGGCCATCAGGTGTTTTCAACAGGCACAGTTAACACAGCTTCCTAGAGTTAAACAAATGCAACATAAACAAAACTAACACACCTTAAAATAATATTCTACAACAGTTCATAAATAAAATAAAAATATTAAAATTAGCCCTTTAATTGTAAGGGCTAGAGAGATGGCTTGGTAGTTAAGAGCACTGGCTGTCTACTCTTCCAGAGGACCCAAGTTCAATTCCTAGCATTAATATGGCAGCTCACAACTGTAACTCCGGTTCCAGGGGATCTAAGGCTGACTTCTGTCCAAGGACACCAGGGATACAAGCAAGCAAAACACCATATGCATAAAATTATGCCTAATTATTACGGTCCTATGTTTAATAATCCTAATGCTTAAATCACTGTGGGAACTTGGTAATTCTCTTCTCTCTCTCTCTCTCTCTCTCTCTCTCTCTCTCTCTCTCTCTCTCTCTCTCTCTCGACAGGGTTTCCCTGTGTAGCGCTGACTGTCCTGGAACTACCTCTATAGAGCAGGACAGCCTCAAAGTTGGAGATGTGCCTGAGTTTGCCTACTAAATGCTGGGATCAAAGGTGTACACCACCATACACAGCTGCTTGGCAAATTTTTAATGCTGTCTTGGAGAGTCTGAGTGAATGAGGTGAATTGCACTTACAGGGAGGAGCTTAGGTCTCTAAGCCATTCATTGTTCTACTGTTTTCATGCAGTTAGTACGCACACCCACATGAGCTAGGAGATGCTTTTTTGTCTTTTTTTTTTTTTTGGTTTTCCGAGACAGGGTTTCTCTGTGTAGCTTTGGAGCCTGTCCTGGAACTCACTTTGTAGCCCAGGCTGGCCGTGAACTCAGAGATTCTCCTGCCTCTGCCTCCTGAGTGCTGGGATTAAAGGCATGCGCCACCACTGCCCGGCTAATTTTTTTGTTTTGTTACTTTTTAGACTTAACCAGGAGACAATGGGAGGTAGATTCTATGTACTTTTACTGAATCTTAATGTCATATTAAGATATTTTTGAGATCATATTAAGGTATATTTTCATTTGAGTTTGTGAATATAAAATAGACATGTATTAAGTGCAATGTCTCAGGAATTTATAAATGACTACAAATATAAGCTAATATAAACCCAGTGAACAAGTGAAATAAAGGAGATGGCTATGAAGAAAACTTTCATATACAGTTTGAAAACATATTTGTTATGTAAAAAATTGTTTGCAGATAAACCCTTGACTTGGAAAACATAAGGCATCACCTGAGAAGATGCTGTAGGGCCGCAGAGCGCTCAGTGGAAGCCTTATAGTGGAGGTCCATCCCTAGACTCCATGTAAGAGTGAGGACAGAACCTACCACACAGTGCTGTGTTCTGGCCTCCACACACATGTCCACAAATCTTAGGCACACCTGCAAAAAATAATAATAAATAACAATAAAACTTAAATTAAAAAAGGAAAAGGTATTGCAAGGAGTAAAGGAGTTCAATACACAACAAAGAGTCTGCATAGACAAAAAAAGAATGATACAGAGGAAGGTCCACTGAAGTAGAAACTGCAACAGGCTTAGACCCCACTCCATGCCATGAGTGCCTGCAGCACCGCCTGCCAAGATGGAGACAAAGACCTAATCCATCCAAATCCACAGTTCAGTAAAGTCTCTAAATGCACCAACCTTGCTCTTTGGCTTCGGCAGTTCTGCTTCTGGATGACTGTTCTTGTTAACAGAATTATGTCACTCCAGGGTGTGGCTTTTGTGTTTAAAAGTTCACCCTGTGAAAGACTCCGGGCTACACTGGGATTCTGAACACCCAGGGTAGTCAATGGCCAGCTAATAAAGACTTTCTATTGCCTTAAACCCATGTCCAAGCAGTTTTCTCTGGTAAATACCCCACAACAAGCAGAATAAAAAATGCAACAACTAGGAATAAATTCATGTCGGCTTCACATTGGGATTGCTGACCCGAGGCTTTACAAATGTAACAGCCAGGCAGTGCCCAGGTGTCCTTGTGAATGGTGATATTTTACCTTTTCGGACAAGGTCTCATGTAGCCCAGGCTGGCCTCTATGCAAATATGTAAACAAAGAGAAAAAGTAGACTATACTCTTCAGAATGATTGTCATCAAAAACTTAATTCTTTCTAAATTAGGCTACAAATTCAATGACTTCTTTTAAAAGGACCTCCAAGACACAGTCAGCATTAAGAATTTACTAGGCAGCTGGGCAAGGTGGCGCACGCCTTTGATCCTAGCACTCGGGAGGCGGAGGCAGGCAGATCTCTGAGTTAGAGGCCAGCCTGGTCTACAGAGTGATTTCCAGGACAGCCAGGGCTACACAGAGAAACCCTGTTTTGAAACCGAATCCCCCTTAAAAAAATGAAAGAAATGAAAAAAGAAAAAAAAAAAAAGGATCTTCCATTTTGATAACTAGAAAACAGTCCAAATTTGTAGGAAAAAATAAGCAAGAGTACCTGGGGCAGAAAGAGACTAGTCCAGTGAGGCACAGGGCACCAGATTAAAAGGCAGTCTGGCAGGAAGAGAGCACTCAGAAAGGACACACTTGTGAATGGGACCTTGATACAATCAAATCAGTGGAAGAAAAGATAATGCATTCAACCTAAGATGTTATATAATGAAGTAGAGAAGATATAGTTCACACAACAAAAGGTCAATAGTTTAGCAATTAAACAAAACTGAAGAAAACAGCATCACCAAGAAACTAAAGTTAGATCTTTAATATGTAATATATTCTTCCATGGATCAAAGATCTAAGGGTTAAAAATAAAACTGTTTATGAACATCAGAGAGAAGAGCATTCTAAATAGGACACAAACCCCAAAAGCGACAAAACAAAGACTCATAAACATTTTAAAGAGTGTTTTAATTTAAAAATCATAATATTTATTTGGTACAAAGATTTGTAAATATGTTACAAGAAAGTACAAATTTCTACATGTAAAAAAATTCCAGGTCAATATCAAAAGACAAACTACAAAGAAAATATTATTTCCAGTATTTTAAAAAATGTGTTTTTAATTATTTTTATAATTTTATGTGCATGGATGCTTTGCCTGCATTTATGTCTGGGCACTACATGTGTGCCTGGTGCCCTTGATGGCCAGAAAAGGCCATTGGCTTCCCTGAACTGGAGTTACAGACCGTTGTGAGGCACCATGTGTATACCAGTAATTGAATCTGAGTCCTCTAGTTGAGTAGGAAGTGCTCTAACCCCTGAGCCATCTCTCCAGCCCTTCTTTCCCTTTTATTTTTTAAAAGGCTAATATCTAAAGCATGCATGCAATGGAAAAGCAGGCTGACAACTAATAAAGAAAATGGCCAATAACAGACATAGGGAAAGTCATCCTGATGCAAATTCTGATGGCTATTGGATCTATAAAAAATGTCAGTACTCACAATAAATAAAGGTAAAATATTTGTTATTTATTGGGCTGAGATGGCAGGCATGCATTTCTGATGAGAATGCCAATTACTAGAACTTCTTTAGAAACAACTTGGGAAAATCTATGCAAATTCTACAGATTCTTGACCCAGCAATTTCACTTCTCAGCATCTATTTTAATTGCCAATAAAAAATAAGTAAGCCAGAGCACAATATGCAAAAATAAATAGTGCATATTTATAATATATAATAATAGCATATTACCAATTGTGTGTGCGCCCGCATGCGGTGTAAAGACATGTTCACTTCGGTGTGCAAATGTACAGCTTGTCTACAAAAGGACACAAACGCGGTGGCTGCAGTTGCCTTTGGAGGGAGCGACTGGGAAAGGAAGGGGTTTCATGGTCTACCTTTTGAAGCTTTACCTTTTGCACATTTTTTTTAAACAAAAGAAATAAAACCAGTTATGTCCAGAGTCTGTGTCCCATTTATCAGTTCTAACACATCAAATATATTAAAAAAATACATAAAAAATAAGTAAGTTATGAAACATCATGATTCATAATAACCAACAGTTGTTAAAATATTTTATGTTCTATATTATCCAAAGAAACAACAAGAATGCGTGCTCCTCTCCTTTAAATACCTCTGCTATTGAACCATCAGAGGTCTGCAACAATAAGGTCTTAGTAGTAACCAGTTTTGAAAATATGTAGTTCTGTAATCATTGGCACTTAAGATATAATACGTTATTTTAAAAGAAGGTAAAATTAGCGATTACTAAGGCTGTTTCAGTTTAATACTTATCAACACATTCACATGTATCTTGACACAGCTCCTGAAGAAGAGTGGGCTGTGAGCCACTGGTGGATGGCCTTTTCGTACTTCCATGGTGCTTTCTGCCAATCCTGATGCCACCTAAGGTGGGCTATAACAGCTGAGTAATTTTGCCCTATGCTCTGTTTCCACATGATAAACTGCTCTCTATTGTACTGATGGACAGAAGCAGACACTTTAGGGTAGTTTATAATAGAACGAAGCTTCTGGTCCAAAGAATAAGTAATTTCTGGAAATTCTGTAGCAATATTTGTTAGCTCATCTGGATCTGAGGAAAGATCTGAAAGAAAAGAAATGGAATAGTTATGTGCTAAAATTGTTTTTTAGAATATCATTGTGACAGATATGTACAGGATTTATTTTCCTTTTCCTTCTTAGTGTAAGATGGGCAGTATGCATTCACATGGCACATAGTGACCTTTCAATCAGCAGCACACCATATACTCAATTGTGTTCCCCTAACATTACATCCCATAATGACTCATAGCCATCTTAGGTCAATGATCATGAAGCAAGGAATGGCTATGGATTAACACTAAAAGTGAAGCACTTGTGTTAATGAATGACCAAATATCTTCCCATCACCATCCTACCATACTGTTTTTTTTTTTCTTCTGTGTTCTTTGATGCCAGAAACAGCCCAATCCTCATAATTAGTAAGCTGGCTTAGACTTTTTCCTGTTTCCAGTTTCTTGATTTTGACACATAGGCATGCAATTATAATCATCTCACACTTCTCAGCTATAACAATTCCTCATACAATAAACCATGTTCATTTTTTACTAAATCCTTTTTTCTTTAAGCATCTTATTGCTGGGGGTTCTGTAAATTACACTAACCAGTACTGTCCATTTGAGCAAACAGCCATGGAAATAAGCACTTCTCAATCAGTACCAGTGAGAAATAATGGCAAATACTCCAGATCCACATACGTTCTTTTTACATGAGATGAGAAGACAGAGGATTCATCTCAGAACACCACTTTACTGGAAAAACGGCAAGTCAAAGACTTAGGGGTACTGACTTCAGAGAGGAAGGAAAGCTCTATGTACAGGAAAAATTTCTGTGGGTCTATATGGGTTCACTGGCCAGGAGGTGCCTGAAGGCACATGTAATTTCGCCAGTGGACTAAAGAGGCACCTCTTGAGGCAAGAATGGTCCATGAATACATGCCAGGGAGACTGTCATGGCCTCTTGAGGAAAGAACGGTCCATGAGTACATGCCACAGAGACTGTCATGGTTGGTGCATCTACCAGCCTTCCAGTCACAGTTGCCTTTTGCAGAATGTGTTGTAAAGTTGTTTTAACAGCTGTAAGATGTAAATGATTTTCCTTTGTGATTTGTTAACTGGACAGTATCCACTTAAAAACAGACACAGTGCTCTGATGAGCTGAGGGGGAGGATGAAGGAATCAGAAACCAGGAACAGACAGCAGATGCAATATCACTTTCCATCGATGGTCAAAACAGAAGGGGGCGCCTCACCCTAGAGCTGCTAAAATGAGCCCTCGCATTAGCTGTTGTGCACGATTGCTTGGTTACATGGCAATGGGCTGCAGTGACGCGCTTCTGAGTTGGTTAGGTTTGCTGGGCCTGGTGTAGGAGCGCTGTGGATTTCATTTAACCATGTCTATGAAGGTGCGTGAGTTGCTCTGTTGGAAGCTAGGAATCCCTGTTCTTAAACTTTAGGAGTTAGTCCTTTGGCCCCTAGATAATTATTTCTAGTTAATAATTCTGATATTTGTAACTAGGATGGAAACTTATGAATAAATATTAACAATGGCCTTGACACCTATTTTATGTACAGCATGGGGATAAAATATAAGAAAAACGCTAGCTGGACAGGGGTGGTGCACACCTTTAATCCCAGCACCGGGGAGGCAGAGGCAGGCGGATCTCTGTGAGTTTGAGGCCAGCCTAGTCTATAAAGTGAGTTCCAGGCCAGCCTGGGGTTTACACAGAAAACCTTGTCTCAAAAAACCAAATACTAATAATGATAATAATAATAAATAAAATAGGGGAGAAAAACTCTAAATCAAAAAATGCTATTTAAAAATGAATTCACAGAGAGGGACGCTAGAAGGCATTTTCACAGGGGGAAGGCGCTGTGGGGTTTATCCTGAGACCCATGCTGAACATTTAGTTTTATGACTTCCTAGTTCTGAGGCCCTGAACAGCTGTCACACTTTCTGGGACCCCATTTCCTTCCCAGTAAAGCGAAGAGAATGATATGCTCTCACAGGGCTGTGAGGAACATTAAAGAATGGATGCAGAATGGACAGACTCCCCAAGAGCGAAGCATTGATCACAGAATCGATGAAACTTAGGTGTGAGGAGAAGGTGTTGACTGATGATGGAGAAAAAGAACAAACGTTGGAAGATCTTACCAGGAAGCAATGGTTGAATGAGATCTGGACACCAGGCCACAGTGTGCTGCCTCCAGTTTCAGGTGCTGATGTGTGAGGCAGCCGCTCCTCTTTCATTAGTGAACACTGATAACTCACACCATCAAATGTCCTTTACCATCAGCAGTCAATAGAGTGGACACGAGGATTTTATAAACAGAGACTAATCTAAACTCTAAACCATGAGACTGGGGTGACCTATTGTAGCTTATCCCAGTATGAGAAGCAATAGGTATTCGTTTACTTTAAAAACAGCTCTCTTGAGCACGTGATGTAGATCAGCTCACTCCACTTAGAATGCATCAAGAAGCTTACCAAAGAGTTGGGGCTGCACGGAAGCACCGTCCGAGTAGGCTATGTACTTCCACTGGCCGGTCCGTAGCATGTAGGTGGAGGCGTTCACGTTGCATCCATGGAATTCACTTAGAATCCAAGGCGGACGGTGGATTTTGAATGTCTGCTCATTTGCAGAAGCCTCTGATGAGAGCCCCAACAAAGAGTACCCACTGAGGGTCTGAGGCAGAGCAAGCCCAGCAATATCTTTGGAACAAAAGTAAAACGCTTTTTCACTAATTCATTGGAATTATCTCAAACACCACCTCTATTTTCCCATCACCAAGGGTTGCAAACTAGGTATCTTATACGGATTCTGTAACCTCACTGCCTAGGCTGAAATGCTCACACTGTGAGCCACGTTACCTTGAGTGAGTTAGTAAGTTCTCTGACTGTTCCTCATTTCTTTCTTTTAAAAAATACTTTTTTTATTTATTTTTATTTTATGTGCATTGGTGTTTTGCCTGCACATTTGTCTGTGTGATGGTGTTGGAGTAATAGACAGTTGTGAGCTGTCATGTGGGTGCTGGGAATTGAACTTGGGTCCTCTGGAAAAGCAGCCAGTGCTCTTAACCACTGAGTTATCTCTCCAGCCCCATGTTTCCTCATTTCTAAGAGAGGTATAATAAAAATTCTATCTCAAATGTTCATTTTTGGTGAAAACTGGCTAACTTACATAAAAAAAAAACCACCAAGTAATCCAATTAAAAGTGAGGTATAGATAAAAACAGAGAATTCTCAACAGAAGAATCTCAAATGGCTGAGAAAAACTCAGAGAAATATTCAACATCCTTAGCCATGAGGGAAATGCAAATCAAAATAACTCTGAGATTCCATCTTACACCTGTGAGAATGGCTAAGATCAAAAACACAAGCAACAGTTCATGCTGGAGAGGATGTGGAGCAAGGGGAACACTCCTCTATTGCGGGTGGGAATGTAAACTTGTTCAGCCACTTTAGAAATCAATATGGCGGTTTCTCAGAAAATTGGGAATTGATCCCCCCAAGACCCAGCTGTACCACTCCTGAACATACACCCAAAGGACAACCACACTTGCTCAACTATGTTCATGGCAGCTTTATTTATAATGGCCAGAAACTGGAAACAACCTAGATGTTCCTCAACTGAAGAATGGATAAAGAAATGTGGAGTATAAACAATGGAGTATTATTCAGCTTAAAAAAAAATGACATGGCCGGGCAGTGGTGGCGCACACCTTTAATCCCAGCACTTGGAAGGCAGAGGCAGGTGGATCTCTGTGAGTTCAAGGCCAGCCTGGTCTACAAAGCCAGGGCTGTTTCACAGAGAAATGCTGTCTCAAAATACAAAAACAAAAACAGAAACAACAAACAAAACCCAGTGATATCATTACATTTGCAGGCAAATGGATGGAACTAGAAAAAATCATCCTGAGTGAGGTAACCCAGACCCAGGAAGACAAACATGGTATGTACTCACTCTTAAGTAGATAATAGCTATAAAGTAAAGGATAATCATGGAAGTCAACTGGCTGTTATGGCAACAGCCCATTGTATTAGCTCTTTCTCCAGGTCATTCTGCTCCTGGAGTAAGAAAGTGAAGTCATGCTTGGCAAATAGGCTGTCCTAGCAGTGCTTTAAGTAAATCACAAAACAAATCAATGAATCAGTATCTAATAATGGGCCTTTTCTACCTTATTCTACTTTAAGACAAAAGAAAGTCAGGAGGAAAGAAGCTGGGTGAGGGGGTCCATGCCTTGGCCATCATTAGTGAGCCATAAGGGGAGAACAGGACCCTGAAGTTGAATGGGAAACAGTGAGCAACTAGCATACACTCATAATCAGCATCTTAATAACATCTAATTTACAAACACAATTCAGAATTTTCTTGTTTAATATCCCTACAAATGTATAGAAAACCATGAATCTTTCTCTTCATGTTTATGAGTGGTCGGCAGTCGAATGAGGAAAGGGTCCACTCCCGTGCTCACTGTTTATCATTCAGCAAACCGGGCCCTGTTGCAGTTGCAGGAGGGTGGCAGTGGAAAGCTGACTTGCTCTTCAGAGCTGCCCTACAGCTGGGGAAAGGCTGGTGTGTCAGACGGCAAGACAGGAGCAAGGAAGCATAAAGCAGGTCTGTAGGCAGTGAGGGCAGGCAAGTGCAGGGCCGAGTCTGTGCGCTGTAGATCACACAGTCAGAACGGCTCTCTGATAAGGTGGGAGGCCAGGTAATGAGTCTTATGTAGAGCTGCAGACAAGTTCTCCTTGTTATTTCCTATGGAATACCATGTATAAAGTCCCCAAGTAAGGCACATGATTGGTTCCCAAGAGGGCTAGATGGAGCAAAGAAGGGCATGATTTTACAAGATGTTGGGGAGAGGGAAGAGGCCATGTTGATCTCCCAGGTCCAGTGAAAATACTTGGACTTGTGTTTGGGTGACACAGGAAACTGAGCAAAGTATTGATACAGACTAAGACTAACAGTGTATAGTAAATGGATAAACTGTCAGACAAGAGGAAGACAGCTGTGAAGCCATGGCAAGAGCCTAAGTAAGAGATTACAGGGACTTAAGTTTCCAGTCTACTATTGCTAGAATTGAGGTTGAGAATAAAACCAATAGCCAGGCATTGTGGCACATGCATGCCTTTTATTCCCAGCACTTAGGAAGCAAAAGCAGGATCTAAAATACAAAAATATAACAACAACAATAACAACAAAAACAAAACAAACAAACAAAACCCAAGAATAAAACTGATGTTAGTTACCTATACTAATATTATTTCAGACAGGGTCTTATCCTTGGCTGACCTAGCACTTGCTACTTAGACCAGGCTATCCACAAACTGACAGAGATCCACCTGCCTCCACCATGCCCCCAGTAAGTACTTAAATATCCGTTGTTTTGTACCTCATAAAACTGCATTTTCCTTTCTTACTTATTTAACAACACTTCCCTTAAAAACCCTTAAGCTTAAATTGCTTTCTTTTTGGAAATACTCTTTAGTATTTTGATAAGCCAGTGAGATGGTCTAGTAAGTAGAGGTAGTGGCCTTGTAGTCCTGACAACCCGAGTCTGATTCCTGGGACTCACATAGTGGAAGGAGAGACTCAACTCCCACAAGTTGTTTTCTGACCTCCACATGTATACTGTGGCACATGTGTGTCCATACACACCCACAGACAGGCTCCCATGAAATAAATAAATATAATAAAGAAATTAAAGAAACTTCTTAAACTTAAAACCCATATTTTATACCGACTTGTCCAGCAAATCTGTCATCCAATTCTATTTTAAGCCCAGTCTCACCTCTTTTGGCAGCATAAGCAAAGACTGAAATGGCAGAATTCTTGGGGTGGAGAGATGGCTCAGTGGTTAAGAGCGCGGGGTGCTGCTCTTCTAGAGGCCCTGGTTTGATTCCTAGCACTGGCATGGTAGCTCACAGCTGTCTGTAACTCTAGTTCCAGGGCATCTGACACCTCTTTCTGGCCTCTGAGGTACTTGTGCACCATAAGCATGCTTTGTAGAAAAGTATTCTAGAGAGTAACTTACAAAGAATGATTAGGCGATAATCAACTTTAATAGTATAAAGAATTCCCAGACATAAAAGCCAGCAGTGTTCTGTCAGTATGAGGCAATGATAAAATGATTACATACTATACAGACCAGCAAGGTTGAACAAACTACAAATATTCTTTGTACTTTATCATAAAGTAGCTTTTTGGAAAAAGGCATTTTTTTCAAAGTCTCATTAAAAAACTGTGAATTTAGTCTTTTAAGTAAAAGCAACCACAGCATCTTAAGTCTGAATAAACTTAATAGGAAGCTAGGTGCAAGTAAATAAATAAACCACACAGGCTTTTCCCGTTTGAGTCTTCTACTGTTTTCTATGGCACCACTTAGGAGAAGAGGGAACCTGGATTAAAACTGAGTTTAGCCTCGTACTCTTCACAGGCAATTAATTTATGAAATATGATGCAGCGACAGTTGAGCCACCAAGGAAAGGACTAGGGTTCTAAGACTAGATTATCATTTATAATTGAACCTCTTAATTAAAAGGAAGATCTCTGAAGATGTTTGGTCAAAATATGCATGTTTATTTATTCCACAGTGAGAAAGAACATGCTGCCTCACAGGTCCAATTTGAGAGCTAATCATTCCTAGAATTCCTTTAAATTCTTCCATCACTGAGAAATGACAGGTTTTAAAAGGCTGAATTGAATACCAGGAACACAAACCTTCAGGATTAACTTAGCTTTGTTAGCTGTAATGGGTGTTAAATAAAGCAAAAGAGAGTTTAGGGCGATTAATCTGGTATAATTGGTAATCATATATCCCTATTCTAGAAAAAAATGTGCTGATTTGGATAGCAAATTAGATGGATATTGTCTCAAATAAAACCAATCCTTGCTCATACAATGTTAGAACCACTTTCTTTTAAATAATATAAGTAGTCTATTTTCATCTCAGTACACTTTCAAACCTAATCTATGATTTAGGTTTTTAGGTCAGACATTTACCAGGTTTCTAATTCTTTAATAGTATCCAGAGATACACATCTGTGTACATCTACAGGCCACTTCCTGAAGGTAGGCAGGCTTCCAAGAAATGGGGTCACATTTGCCTTGAGAAAATGTGTGCCAGTTTTTATTCTAGCAGCAAATGGGAAGGCCTATTTCCAACAGAAGATTTTCCAGTTCTCAGTTTTTGTAAACTCTGTATGTGAAAGAATATGTGCATTCTTATTTAAATAGTTTGTTTGTTTTTGAGACAGGGTCTCATTATGTACCTGACTGGCCAGCAACTTGCTATATAGACCAGGCTGGCCTCAAATTCACAAAGATCCATTTACTTAAGCTTCTAAAAACAAACACATATATATCTTGGCTGCTTGTACATCTTCTGTTGTGAAGTGGTTTACGTCTTTTGGCTCGGTCGTTAATAAGGCATCTCTCTATGTCTTCTTAACAGATTTGTAAGAGCTCTATGGATATTACACTTTCATTATTTATAAAAATATGATTAACTTAAGTAGTTTTCACGGCGTTGTTACAACACGGTTCCTATCTTACCACTGGCTGACTTCTGAAGAACGGACACTTTAGTGTTTTACTGAAAGGCCCACGCACAGACACTTTCCTGCATTCTCTTCCTCTATCTGAGTATCATATATATCAGCAGCATTTGCTCTTCTGGCAATGAAAAGAATCTCTTATGTAACACACTGTAAACTGTGCTAACCTTGACACTGTTAATTTAATTTTTACTTGAGAATTGGAGAGAAAATCATTTTTGGCTTTATTCCTTTTACTATTTCTGGACAGGCCTAACAAACACAGAATTCTGTTAACATATTTTTGCAGTGAAATCTAACTGAGGAGCAGTCTATAATCAAAAATTTCATGGATGATCAAAATAAAGGTCTATGTCAACCTTTAGCTCTAGAATAAAGGACAAATTACAGAGAAAAACCTACAACTGCCAAGAACGTTAATCATTTTAGAACAAGGATGGACTTAAAGATGTTTCTGGAAAATTCTTATTTTCAAGTACCATAAACCATGGAGTACCTTGCTTGGTGGAAAAATAAATATCCCCATATCTCAGCTAGCTTTAGCAGGTAAAAATATCATGATGGCAGTATATTTGATATTTAGTTAAGATATTTAAAGCTATCTGTGGATACATGATGACGTATGCAAATCTGGACATTATCCTGAACTTTTATAATGTATAAAGTGGCAAGTAGGGATAACTATACTGTGTACGCTAGCTTTTTGCCACTGTGACAAATACTCCAGGAAAAACCTTAAGGAAGTGAAGATTTCTTTCAGCTATGGTTTCAGAGCCTGTGGCCGGTGCGTTCCTTTTCTGTGGTCTGTGGTAAGATGTAACATCATGGCAGCAAGAGCACACAGTGGCGCAGAAGGAAGAGGGGCTGGAAGAAGGGGCTGGGCACAGCACAGTTTTCAAAGGTACTCCAGTCAGGCCCCACGCCTTACAGATTCCAGCACCTCCCGAAACAGTGCCAAGCCTTCAACACTTGAGCATGTGAGGTCCATTTCATATTCAAACTGCAACTGGTACCTCAACAATGTAGTGTACATTAGAAAAAAAACAGACAAATTAAACAAAAAAAATTAAACAACCCAATCAATAAATGAACTAGTGAGATGAAAAAACAGTTCTCAAAAGATAAAATGTAAATTGTCAATAAACATATGAATGTTCAACCTCACTGGCCATCAGAGAAACTCAAATCAAACCACACTGAGATTCCATCCCACCAGTCAGAATGGCAGCCCTCAAGAAAACAGCACCACCGAGGACGCAGACCAAGCAGAGGGGACCTGGGTCACTGCTGGTGGGAGCCTAAGTAGTCAATCTCTATGGAAGTCAGTAAGGAGGTTTCTCAAAAACACTAACAACAGACCTTCCATATGACCCAGCTGTACACCTTGTATGACAACTTAAACAAATAAGAAAAGAATATAAAGAATGAGATGTGCAAAGTAGAGGAATACAGAGCAATGTTTAACTAAAAACAATGGGAACCTTGCATATTAACCAGCTAGTGTACAGTGACTATGTAGGAAGAGACTACGACCCACAGTGGATGACTCCTCAAAGATAATGGACTACTTATTTGTTAAGTCAAAAAGCCAAGATGCAAAACAGCACTAACATCGAGAGAAGCACAGAAAAAGCCCAATTTTCTACAACTTCTCCAGTGCTTTCTGCACACTCAGACAATGTCAAAGTCAGGCAAATATGACCCAAAGATGCTGTTCTCTGGGAAAGCAAGTTCTACATGAGGCAAAAATTGTAAAGAAAAGCCAACATTACCATGTTTCTAAAACTTTATGGATGCTAATAAAGGGGCATGTAGAAAAGAGAATCACACACATGTAGAAGTAGAGAATCACGTGCAGAAGTAGAGAATCACATTCATGTAGAAGTAGAGAATCACATTCATATAGAAATAGAGAATCACATACATGTAGAAGTAGAGAATCACATTCATGTAGAAGTAGAGAATCACATTCATGTAGAAGTAGAGAATCACATACATGTAGAAGTAGAGAATCACATTCATGTAGTAGAGAATTACATTCATGTAGAATTAGAGAATCACATACATGTAGAAGTA